CACTCACAGCCTAAACCTTCTTATCTAGCTACTTATTAAAAACATACGTTTTCAAAAATGAATATAACTGCTTCAAAATTTGTATTTTGGGTATGGATGTGTGTAATTTACGTTGTACAACAAAACGTAAAAGTATCGTCAAGTTATGCTTACCACCGGCTTTATTTTAATTGAAAAACCCCATTATAAAACCCCATAGGGAAATCTAGAAGGAACCCACGGCGAATTACTCTTCTCTTCTTCCACAAAAATTGAGTATTCTGAACTTATCGGGTTTTACAGTGCGCGAGTAAAATATATCCTTATTTATTTTGCTAAAAGTTCAAAGTTTAATGTTTTTTAATCATTTAAAGTAAGCTGAAAATCCAAAAACCTTACATTTATTTGTGTTACAACGCGGGTACATCAGTCTTATTCAGTGGCGTAGCAAGTCAGCCCCGGGCCCATATCTGCAGCACCCTCAGCACCCCTACTTCCCGCGGTAATGATTGAGATTATAATGTGACAGATTTTCCTCTATGTCCTTCCAGGAATATACAATGCCGTGGCTTTGTGTGTCTTTCATTTGCCTGTTCTCAAAGGGAAAAAAAATATGAAACAGCTAAAATCAGGCCTGATTTCCTAATATTATTTGTTCTATTTTAAGCAAATTCTTTGTCAAAAAAAGTCCTCTTTTGAAAAAATAATAATGTATATTCTTTAAGTCTTTATTGGTTAAAAAAACAATATTTGATCATCAAAATGATATATTCAAACGTTTTTTCCAGTGAAAATGATTTCTTCATGCCTTAATTAGGCTTGAATGTAACTTTATACCCTTACCATTAAGTACATGCAAAATGCATGAATATACTAATTAGTCTCCGCCTCCACTCAATCATACCAGCTCGGACCTGCTCCACATTCACTTGGTTAGCTGAAGTAGTACAAGCTACATAACAGCAAGTGGCAATATTAGATTAATCCAGCCATATATGCTTGAACCAGAAACTTGACTACAGTATTAAACAGCTAATAAAGTGGTACTAATGTTACACAAACCATATTCCTGTTCACCATCTCAGACAGCTGCCTTGTAAAAAAGAAACATCCTTAGGCAGAAACACTTTGCTAATGATATAAAAAGCCCCGCCCCCAAGATCCGACAGTTACATGTTTGTGACGGTAGGAAATGGGAGGTTTCAAACCACATTTTTGAGATACACTGGATCTTATGGAGAAAATGCTTAGCAGTGGTGTTGGCTGATGAATCTGCACATGGTTTGTCTTTAAGCATATTAAAAACACCAGATAGACATGTAAACAAAGCTTAAAAAACTTCACCACATGGGGTCTTTTAGCCACAACAATTCACTATGAAATTCTCTATAATGTGCTCTATAAAGACACCTGCACACCATTAAAATGTAAAAGGGCAGAGCTTAGTCTCTATCAAACAATGAGATAACGTCCCTTCGCTCTTTGACCTGAGACCCACAGTTAATGTGAGTGTGGGGTTTGGGGTCATGGCAGGGGTCAGACTGGAACATGCTAAAAGGTCAAGAGGTTGAAGTTATTTACTCACCAGGTCGTGGTTGGTTGAGTTGGAATCATCCTCGGGAAAGGGGATGTATACAGCTAAGGCCATGCAGTTGGCAAAAATCGCTATCAATATAAAGATATCAAATGGCCTGAGATGAAAGTTAAGGAGTAGAACAAAGAGAATCAATAATTAAAAATAATTAAAGTCAGAGGCAATTAATATATACATCCAGTCATTCTTGTGAAGGTTTACAAGTTAAATTTGCTACTAGAATCAATCAAACAAGAGAAAATCTGGCATATATTGTACATATTTAAATATGACATTTAAATGAAAGGTCAAAATGTGAATAACAAATCAAATTTCAACTCATCCCTCAAGTTGGCTAGATTAAAATGGAATTAATCCAAACCTATTATTCAAACGTTTCCAGAACTAAACAAGGCTTAAGTTTTTCCTGATTTTTTTCTGCCAGAAATTCTGATTTGTTGCTTGGGTGCTAACATTTTCATTTCATTTTTATTTTTTTAAGGGTCTGAAAAACACGGTTATGTTTTTTAGAAGCCCTGTTTATTATTAAAATTATGGCATAACATTGCTGATTTGTTTTTATTTTTCAACCAATTCTAACTAATGCTTCAAGGACAATAATTTCTTGCAATTTTAACAAAACTTTACCTTTGTTGACCAGTTAAGTACCTATATTTCCTTGGTGAATTTAGCAGAATTCAAAAGAATTAGCAAAACAATATTTACTCAAAGCGTCACAGAAAACCAAATTTGTAAGCTTACAAGTCAAAAACATACTATAGAATTATTGTGATCATGTGCTGTGTTCCATCAACTGGCCTGAAACTCTTACACCGGCCCCTGTTCATCTGTACATCTTTATTATTAATCACAGCTAAATCTCATCTTGTGATCGCTCAAAAGGGTCAGAAGGAAATAACAGTGAGTAGCTACTTGCATGCGGTTTAACAGTAAAAAGTCCATTACAACAGCACTGACTCAGCCGCTCTGCTTTCCTGCTAGTGAGACGTACAAAATGTAAATAATACTGGTGTGAGTCAGAGGACCTGAAAATGTTGCAGTCTACATTCAATATTCGAAAATCAGTCATTTAAACTTATACTCTGGTTTCACAAAAATGCACAATTTTGTGTGTCAAGGATAAATTTGACACTACATTCAGGGTTGCGTCTCACATTCCTTTTTTGCACTCACTTAATGCATTTTTTAAATCCAGTACAATGCAATGTTCTAATTTTACGCTGCTAAATACTCTTATTAGGCCATGAGCTAGGACACTAAAATGTTGGATTATGCGGCATTCAGGGGAAGTTCTCTCTGACTTTCCCATGACTCCTTTGAGGAAAGACAAGGCTGGTAGGGCTAGGCTAATATTAGCTTTTGCATGATCCTGCACAAACGCTCACACCTGCAATGCTTGTTTCACTGTACATTATATATGTAGAGATGAATCTGAAATCTACAGCTTGGAAGCCATTGCTCCTTTATCTTCCCCGTAGGGCCGGGGAACAGATGTTCTTTTCAAAGCTCAGCTATACACGCTGACTTGCGTTTGAGATTAAGGTGTTCCTCACTGCAGGGAACACAGCTTCGCTCTAATAAAGACCACCAGACAAGCTTCTACCGGAGATGACAAGCTGGGATGTCTGCTGTAGACGCATAGGTGGACTACTTTCATTTGTTTACCTGTTCTCTTGATGATTCGCTCAATTACTTCATCCCGCCTTCACCTATTTTCAGCACAGGCCACAAGCAAACCACACCATATGCTAGTTTTCTAGAGGAATAATGCCAGAAGAAACTCCAAAGCGTATTTACAAACAACAAACTCTGACCTGAAGAGCAGGCCACCAGTCTTTCCACATGTTCGAATGCAAGTCTGCTAAAACAGACAATATTCTGAAATCCACAACAATAGTTCACTCAAAAATTAACATTCTGTCCTTGAAAACCTGTATGCTGCCATCTTTCCATGATTCAGAAACAGAATATCTGAGTCCACTAATCTTCACTAGTCAATTTTTTTTTTTACTTTTTTTAAGCTTGTAGGGAAAATGTTTTTGAAGTCAAGAATCAAGAAAGGGTTGTCAGAAGCATACTGGTGATGACGTTGAAGTCATGCCACCATAGGGTAGTTTGTTTAAAGCCTACGTTTACCATTTTAATTCTGGCGACTCTATTTAGGCTTCAGAATTCATAGAAGTTGTGTTTATTTGTGAAGATTATCGTGGTGAACAAAACATCTAAAAATCATCAACTTTTGTTTTTATTTTCTGCCGTTAACCCAAAAGCCAATGGAAAAATCTTATTGGTTTTTGTCAAGGGAACCAGGGTGATGCTAACTTCCTGGTTGGCCTACAAAAATACATCAGTGCAGCACTCTTTTGCAATTTTTAACAAGCTTCCAGAACACTCTCCTCTTCCTCCATTGGTCAGACTTCAGATAGTCCTGCCTCCAACTCCCACCATTGGTTAAGCCAATGCTGTTTCATTGGTTAGACTTAGTCAAACAGCAATGTTTTAATAGCACCACAAAGCCAAAATGCACACTTTTCACTGGACTCTTATTTATAGTTGACTCTACATATTAAATGGACAGATGACCAAAAAATAAAAATTCTTTGCTCACCGTTATGTTGTTCAAAACCTATATGCATCTAGATATTTTAAAGAAAGTCGGGAAATAAACAACTTTGAGGGAAAAAAATATGGGACAACATGGGAAGGTGAGTAAATGATGACAACATTTTCATTTTGGGGGACGAAATCCCTTTAAACTTGGATATGAGAACATTTTGAACACCCCGATCGTCTTAATATTAGTCAATCTTGACTGAAAAGCGATGTAAAGGATACTTCCATTCCACGAGGCTGATACAGGCCCGGCGGATGGGGTTGTTGAGGTTGAGGCAGAAGAGAGCTCTCTGCGGCCGCGTGTTGGCCGAACTGCCCTGTTTTTTGCTCTTGGCATACTGCTGCCGCTTCTTCTGGGCCAGCGAGCCGACCGGTACCACTGACGATACAGGCACGGAGGCTGCGGGGGGTGCGGCAGGAGTCGCAGCAGTCGGAGCAGGGCCGTTGGCGCTCATGGTGCGGGCGTGGGCCTGAGTGGGGCGTCCACCAGCATGGGCCTGCCAGGGGAGATGGCACAGAGGTGGGCGCTTGAGCGAAGGGTCTCACCAACAGGCTGGCACGTCACCAGAGACAGCGACTCTGGTACTGCTGGCATAATTTGCCTCTGTGAAAGACAGAGAGGAGAGTTAGAGAGAAAACGAGAAAGCACAGAGAATATAGTGGGAGGCTGTGCAGTGACTTCCTTCACTGCTACATTATTTAATGCAACAATGTGGGTGTAGGACTAAAAGATGCATACAGTATGTCTTCGGGTCTAAAGGTCAGTGTCTCAACCACGGTTTGAGAGCAGTCCAATGTGTGAAAGACGTGGGCACCAAAAGAACCTCTATATTTAAAGGAATAGTTAATCTCAATATGAAAATGATGTCCTTATTTACTCCATTTCATGTCAAAAGTACCATAACGGTAGCCCATACGACTCATGCGTTATATTTAAAGTTGAATGAAGCCATATGATATTTTTGTGTGAGGATGGACCGTTTTCACAGACTGTGATGATGTGACTTTCCACAGTTAATAACATAAATCTAGAAAAGCTGGGTTTTTTTGTTTTATTAATGTACATTTATAACAATATGAGTTATATTACCTTGCCATTAAATTACAGAAAACTGGTTGGCGCTGCTATGTGCTTGTTTCTAAAATAAAGACACATTTCTCTCTTCTGACCAACATAATCTTTTGATATGTTTTACTTCTTTTGGCAAGTCATAGAAGCACAATCATGTTTTTATTTTCATTTTCTGTTGGAGCAAATAGGAACACAAAAATATATTTGTGTTAATTTATAGAAGTTATATCTACAGAGATTTACCCAACTATGACGGCTTTTGTGAACCCCGGAAATGTAAAAATGGTCCCTTTAGACCAAAATTTAGGTTGTTATTTGACTTAAATCTTGTTCTTCAATCGGTAACACTTTACAATAAGGTCCCATTACTTAAAGTTAGTTATTGCATTAACAATGAGCAATGCATTTGTTAAAGTACTTTAATAATATTATTGAAATACATAGCATTCACTAATATTAGCAAATGCAACTTTTGATTTTAATAATGTATTAGTAAATGTTGAAATGAACATTAAGATTAATAACTGCTTTTCATAGCTAACTCATGTTTATTTACAAATGAAACCTTATTATAAAGTGTTACTTTTGATTCTATATATTTCAACTGCTACATCATGTCATGATAAAAACAGCATCCTTGTCGTAATATGATAATGTTTTATTCCATTAAATCCAAACCATGAAACCAGGAGCATCCAATATTGAAAAGTCTGAGTATAGTGCAACAAGACTATGGTGCACACGTGCCAATTTAAAATAAAAATATTATTATTGTACAGGTTACTACGATTTCTCAGCAAACCAGGGCAGCAAAAAGGAAAAGCATAACATGTCGCTTAAATGACAGAGGTATTATTAGGATAATGCCACAAAAAAAAAAAGTTACAGCTTGTGGAAAAATCAATGTGCGTAGCGTGACCCAATGAAAACCAGCCTGCAAATAGATGCACTGTGGCAGAGAATCACACTACCAACATCCCCACATAAAAACACATTATAAGCAAACAACAGTATAAAAAAAAAACATGCTCTGCATTCAAATACAAGCAAAAAGCACACATCCAGGCTCATGGGATCCACAAATGTCACTCATATACATCAGAGTCCTTGAACCACTAGGCCCCGCAGAGGAAATGAAGACATGCATGGAAAGGTCATATCTGCCTATATACATTTCCCTTTAAGCATTTGTCTTCCATCGGATCGTGAAAACCTAAGACATCGCATCCAAATGTGTCACAAATTCAAGCCAATGATCTGCTGTCATTGGATAGGCTATACAATAAATGTTAATCTTCACACTAATGATATAGGACATTAAGTGCACTGTATCCTTGTCAATACTGGCTCATTCATATATTAGATATATTTATCATTCCAATGTCATGCATGATGCAAACTGATAATGAAATATAATTTCTTAATGCCTTCATTTACATAGTGCTACAGTAGTATGAATACTAAATGTTGACGTTTAAACTATCTTGTAGGACAATGACACATATTGTCATTCTGACATCGCATGGCAAGGATGCATGTAGACGCATAATGCATATATATATATATATATATATATGGTGACATACATGCGTATAGATAAAGAGGCTCGTGACTCTAAGACAATAACTGTAACGTTTCTTCTCAAAAATGAAATATTCCATATATGTGGCAGCCAAATCTGTGTCTTTCTTTAGATGATGCCAATGATGCTCAGTTACAACAGCTGTGATGCGTCTTTATAGTCACCGACTGTTTATTTCTTTTAAAAAACGCTCGATTATGACAAGCAGTGACAACATCTAAGGTCTAACTGGACCAAACGAGCGCAAAATCCTCTGCATCAGCATCATCAGCATCTTTTCAGCTCTGACTCGGATGCAGAATGATCGCACTCCATCATTTGTTGAAAAAGATCCATTTTAACTAGAAACACGCCAGGCCTCTGCGTGAATATCGTACCTTTGATGAGGTCTTTTCGTTCAGCTGAGGAGGAGGAGGAGGATTCGGCTTATATCCAGAAATAAAACTCCAACATCGATTAAAACGTTCAGGTCCGATCTGACACTGTAGATTCAAATTCATCAGTATGCATTCGCTCTTTAGCGCGTGAGAGAGCGCGAGAGCTTCCTCGCGTTCGCCGCGCGCTGTCTGTGTTTAAGCGTCACGAGGCGTCGGTGAACGGTGAAACGAGCTGAACTCCCCCTCTGGCTGTGCACGCACAAACCGCTTACTTTAGTGTAGAGGGCTCCGACTCATTTAAAGAATCGGTTCGTTCAAATGGATCGTTTCATAAGATCACTTGAGCCATCATTCGGTTCCCAATGTGGGGTTTTGTCTTTTCTTTTTTTTGTTATAAATTGCTCTTTGTCGCTGATTTTTTTTTTCTTTGTTTGTTTGTTTTGTTTTTAGGTGATATTTAGGCTATTGTTTCAACAATATTGGTATCAAAATGCTGTTAATAATAATAGGCCTGTTGTTCACAATATGGTAAAATTAATAGATTAATACTATTTATTCCCAGTTTTGTTAACGATATTATTCTCGCATTGTTTTACTCCTAAAAAAGTTATGTCGAGTGATTTATGATTTGAATGGCTCATTTCAATGCGCGGTTTATAAAACGATTCATCAATTCAGTTGAGTCATCGCTGAAAATTGTTACACAGCAGCAGTTTACAGTTGCATAATTAAGTTGTGGTTATTTTAATATTTTATTCTTATATTAATTAGAATATTACTTGAATGTTTGCGTCCGCCACACGCCAATAATCAGTCACGATCAAAGATTCGTGCCAAAATATCGATTAAAAACAAATTAATGTTCATATATGAATTTTCCATAATAAAGGAGTTGGGGTGCACAGGTGAGTAGATGTTTGATGGGATGTAGCTCTCTATTCACTCAATTAATGTATTACTGTTTATTTTATTAAGGGGATATCGTTTGTTTACCTGAGCATAATTATCAGCAAATATATGAAAACGTCTCAGGTTACGTATGTAACCCTAGTTCCTCGAGGGAACGAGACGCTGAGTCAAAAACGCTAGGGGAAACGCCTTCTGCGACCCACGCTCTGAATCACATGTGAAATTAGTCCAATAGCTGAACGGGACGTCACGGCGGATGACGTCATGACCAGGAAGCTATAAAAGCACGTGAGGCGGAGCCAGCGTCAGCTTCTAGGAATGAAGCAAGCGCTGGCAGGGACGCCGGAAGTATGGCACCGAGACGCAGCGTCTCGTTCCCTCGAGGAACTAGGGTTACATACGTAACCTGAGACGTTCCTCTTCAGGAACTCGAGCTGCGTCGAAAACGCTAGGGGAACGAGAATGCCCACGCCGCCAGACTTCCAAGTCTCTGCCTAGTGTGGAAGACTGCACAACTAGGGCGAGAGAACGGAAGAGCCGGGAGTGGCTCGCATGTCTAGCTCATAAAACCTAACAAGGGTAAGGGGCGTGGACCAACCCGCAGCGTTGCAGATGTCCTGCATAGGCACACCCGCTAAAAAAAGCCTTAGAGGCTGCCACACTTCGAGTCGAGTGAGCCTTGACCCCTAACGGCGAGGGGAGATCAGAGGACTCATAACATAAGGAGATAGCATCCACTATCCACCGACTGAGGGTCTGCTTAGTTGCTGGAAGACCTCTCTTAGGGGGACCGTAGCACACAAGCAACTGGTCCGCCCTCCTCCACAGGGCAGCTCTGTGGACGTATGCATCCAGTGCTCGCACTGGACACATACAGTTCGCACGCGCTTTTATAGCTTCCTGGTCATGACGTCATCCGCCGTGACGTCCCGTTCAGCTATTGGACTGATTTCACATGTGATTCAGAGCGTGGGTCGCAGAAGGCGTTTCCCCTAGCGTTTTCGACGCAGCTCAAGTTCCTGAAGAGGAACCTACTATTTGCATTGGGTCTTTTAACATTCATTTACATATTAGCCTCCAATTAAAAAACTATAGCCTAATATACTACGGGATTTCGTCACATGTTGTGTTTTTTTCCCAACAATAAAAATCATTATGATAATTATTAACATATTAGTATCAGTTATTCTTAATATTGTTAAGACTCAAAAAGTGAGTCCTTACGAATCGGTTCGACCGAATCTTCAACGAGAATTGGTTCAAAACAATCATCCATTCGTGAATCGGACATCATACTCAGTACAATCAGTAAGAACGAACAAACTACTGGCAGGTGTTTGGCAGTATTGGAACACGTTGGAGCAAAATGTGTTTGCTAATAATAATATAAATAATATTGAGATTATTTTCAGTGATTGTGGGACAAATTTTAAATCCAGGGTTTTTCTTTGCTTTGCAATTTGCTCTTATACTCATAATAAGATAAAAAAATATATAAAATATAACAAAATTAAACATTATAAAACAGGAATATTGAAGTCATACTGTACAAAAGACAAGTCAGTAGAACTGAAGGCCTTTAAGAACATGCAATTAGAGCTCAGAGAGTTAGGACTTCCCTTGAGTCATCATTTTCAAAGAGGAAATTTCAGAAGAAACCCACATTATATATTTTTTTAGTGTTTCACATGTTCTTATGAGAGGTGAATCTACTATTTCTGGAGACTAGCAAACACAAATGGCAAGAATATGATATCATATCATATTCTGCTCCACTGCAGTCAATAATCATTTATTTTGGGCATGTTTATGAATACTTTAGTTTAATTTATGTTTCTTTTCACGCAACAGTTCAAACGATCTATCAACCATCTTTAGAAAAGACAGCACCTGCTCACCACCTGTTCTTCTCAGAAACTCATCTCTCACATTACCAGTCATGTCTGGAATATTCTCTGCGCTCATGCAAACAACTGAACGTTCAATGACATTCTTGAACTCAAATTTGGCAATTTTCAGTATTCATTGTTAGATAGAAAATTGTCTTTTACTACATATACCTAGATCTATACGTGATTGCTAAATATACAACATATTTGTATTCTGTAATAAAAGTATGACATTTTTTTTTTATATGTACAGATTACTGTTTATATGTGTATTTCTTTGTGGTGAATCCTTAAATAAATGTCTTCTGTTTCACCTGTTTTAAATTAAACAATTCATAAACTTAGAAATTTGATCTATTAGCCTACAGCAGGAATCAATGTTAGCTTACTTTGGGACGGCTGCTTTTATGAATCTGATAAAATGCTGTCATAAACCCATGATGAAGCTCTAGTACAGTCCATGTGTTTTTCTGATGTGACCGGTGAAAGGTTCAGGCAGGCCTTGGGCTGATATAATATAGAACAGATAAAATGGTTTCTCCCCGAAGCAACTTTAATAATTAAATGCCTTATTAGGTATTTCAGCCAATCAGCATTCACAATTTGTTCTGTCTTTGTCACATGACATGGGCCTTTACTGTACAGTGAAGAACACAGAAATGCTTTAAAAAAAACATCCCAGGATCGATTTTTACATCTAACAGATTTCAATTGTATTTGTTATATGAAAGCCACAAAAAAAATTTTTATGCCTTCATTGTTTATTTTTGTTACTTTTCAAATGAGTTTTAAGATTTTATTGTTTTCTCAGACCCTGATCTTACACCAATGGTTTTTCCGAAGTTTGAAATAAAACAGCAATTATTGGAATATGTTTTACAAGAAAATACAATTGAAGTCTTTCTAAATATGTGTTACTTTCTTTTTACTTTTGCTGTTTCTTTGTAATTTCTGAGTGAAAATTGTGTTTAAGGATTTTCAGTGTATGAAAATCAATTATAAAAATCTTAATTATCAAGAATTTATCAATATGATCTAAGAGATAGTGTGAAATAATTTCACTTAATAATTTCAATAATAATTAACACAATAATCAACTCAAACATTTCAATATTTATTTTGTGAAAATATAAAAAATACAATTATTACTTATATATTTATAATTTATAAATTATATATATAGTATGAGAAAATCTGGCATCATTTCCATGAACATTTTCCCCCTTTTTATCAAACTTTAGTTTACTTTTTTTGACAAAAGTTATGTCAAATTATGCAAAAAGAATAAAAATAACATTTTTATGTAAAATACATAAAATGATAGGTATGAAATTAGCCTTAGCATGACAAAGAGTTTGTCCATTTCTTTAAAAAAAAATGTAAATGTCATTTCCATCACAAAAGGTACACTGTAAAAAAAATTCCGTAAAATTTACGGTAAAAAAATGGCAGCTGTGGTTACCGGAATTTTACCGTAAAAATTATGGTAGCAACATTTTAGGTTTTACGGTTTTAACTTAAATTTACTGTTAAATACCGTAATTTCATTAACTGAAATAATGTTAATATACCAACCTACTGAAGTACTGAAATCTGTTTTGTACCTTTGTAATACACTGATAACCACCAAATGCAGGTGGTGATGAGAAAGTCACATGATGAACCAAAGCCCATCACAAGCAGCTTTTAAATACTAACATATATAGAAGGTGCACGGTGTCATTCACACAAACACTAAACACCGTAACACACATGAAATGGAAATAATGCAATAAACATTAATTTAACAACATTAGGTGTAACATACAACCCTAACATACAAATCCGATAAGAAAAAACTAAGAAGAAACAGTTATTTCAACAAAAAAAAACATCAAATTTGAAATGTAACGCAGGGAATTCTGGGAATGTCAATTTACGGTTATTCACTGTAAATTATACGGTCTTTTTCACTTCCAAAAACGGTATACTACCATAAAATTACATGTAATGTCCAATACAGATTTTCACCGTATATATAGTAGTTATCCATTAACCATTCCGTTAACCATTTAACAGGTTTTTACTGTAGCATTTTTACAGTCTTTTACCGTTAAATTCACAGTCATTATTTACAGTGTATATATATACAAAACATTTATTTAACAATTTAACACTTTTCAAATAAAGAGGTTACTCAATGTCTTTGTTGTTTGCCCTTACATTTCTGTCCCTGTGTCTCTTTCTCTCACTATCCTTCTGTGTCTCTCTTCTTCTCTTTCTACCGGCATTTGGTCGCTGTTTGTCTTGCTGACTGGTGAAGTGAAGCTCATGTAGCATCAGAGGTATCTGTTGACAGCAGTGAGAGCCTCGCTTGTGTCATGGTGTTCTTTATCACTACCAATAGCATGCTGTGTTTTCTCTTCAAACAATTAACACTTATTTTGTGAGAGTCAGCAATGTT